TTTAGATCATTTAATACCATAAAGCTATTTGATGAAAAAAAAAAAAATAATTGGTATGCCCACATCAACATGTACATTTATAATGATGGTATAGAAAAAGTCACATGAGATAAATATTTAAAAACTTTAATATTCCTAAACAAATTAACTTTTTAAAATTTTATCTGGTATATAAGATAAAATAAAGAACATATTTAGGTAATTTTGAATTTGCATAATTTTATGAACTTATTTATGAAATTAACAGTTACCTTGTAAAAGGGAACTTTTTAAAATACCTCAATAAAGCATTTTCTTTTGTAGAGGTGAACTTTTAGTACTGATCTAATATATTTATAAAATTTTAAACTGAAAAAGACAACAATAATAGATTACAATACATTGCAAGATTGACTGATAAATGTAAAATTTTTACATATCATAATTATGTGTGTAATTAAAACAGAAGTTACTAGATTAACTTGCATGCAAATTAATATTTTCTTTAAGATGTTTGGGATAAACTGAATTTTAATAAATAAATATGTATGTATTTGTGTATTATCTGAAGATATGAATGAAATATTTGTGACATTAAACATTCATCTTCAAGGAAATAACAAAGTCAACTGGTAAACTATTGGAAAAGGTAAGTTTTCTACAATTTCCTGGTCTATATTTAACAATTTTAAAATTTAGCACACTCATTCAAATAATCTAAACGTATGATGTTTTGTTTTGTGCTACATTCGTTTACAGAATTTGTTAATTAACTATATTGTACTTTAGATAGAAATTAACATTGATATTCCCTGTATTTTACGGTACAAAAACTTATATATTTGATAGTAATTCACCTAAATCTTCCCTATGTTTTCTTTGCATATACGAATGACTTTGGTAAAACCTTTGGTGACTTTGGTTAGTCCAATGTCTTCTCTTTACTGTGTATAAGTGCCACATTTTTGGTAAAAAATTTGCATAAATCTCCAATTACCTATTTACTACTGCATTTTTCGTAAATGTGGCTTATTTTAATCTTTTATTTTTTATATAAATCTATGCAAAAATGTTCTGCATATTATGATTAAAAGATAATATTAATTTAATATCAAATTTTTACATATCCACCTTTTAGGTATGTACAGCAATATGGAATATATATAACTGGAAAATTTAAATGCAAAAAAAAATTAATTTCTATGCAAAAATTATATAACACTAAAAGGCTGAAAATCACTTTTAATATTTCATTTCAAAGTGACTACAAAGTATGCAATAAATTTTGTAAACCGGAGTTCTATGTTTTAAATCAATTAATGCTATTGTTCATTTACATGGCATAAGAAAATGTCCTTTGGAAAAGCAAATAATTTATTTAAGTGTTATTTAGTAATAATGAATTTAGTAAACAACTGTTTGCTACAGTTGTTTACTAAATTTAAATTTATGAAATGAATTTAGTAAACAAAAATGCAAATGAACGATAGCATTAATTGATTTAAAACACAGAATTGATGTTTACAAAATTTATTGCATATTTTGTAGTCACTTTGAAATGAAATATTAAAAGTCATTTTCAGCCTTTAAGTGTTACGTAATTTTTTAATAGAATTTTTTTTTTTTTTTTTTTCATTTACTAGTGCATTTAAATTTTCCAGTTATATATATTCCATATTGCTGTACATAAAAAGGCAGATATGTAAGAATTTGATATAAAAATTATTTTACCTTTTAATCATAGCATACAGAAAGTTTTTGCATAGATTTATATAAAAAATATAAGATTAAAAGTACGTTTTATGAAAACTGCAGTGAAAAGGTTATTGGAGATTTATGCAAATTTTTTACCAAAAAATGTGCATTTATACACAGTAAAATGGAGAATACATCGGATTAAATTTTTACCAGTCATTCGCATATGCAAAGAAAACATAGGGAAGATTTAGGTCAATTACGGGAAATATATACGTTAATTTCTATCAAATATATACGTTTTTTGTACGGGATAATATATACGTTTTAAATACGGAGAATATCTACCTTAATTTTTACCTAATATATACGTTTATATACAGTAAAAAATAGGGGAAATTTACGTAAATTTTTACTAAATATATACGCATACGTGAAGCAAAAAAATTGAGATTTACGTATATGCGATAAATATACGTAAATTTTTACTAAAATATACGTAAATCCCTGAAATTTACGTATATTATACGTAAAAGTTGCGAATGAACAGTAGTCTCTCGCGTAAATATACCTAAATTTTACGTATAGTAAAACGTAAAAATATACGTAAATATTTAGCAATTGCCACTGGACACTTTTTATGATAATTTTACGTTCAACTTGAACGTTTTTTATACGAAAGGCCATTCGTAAATTGCACGTATTTTTCTCGTGCAATTTACGAATGCATGCTGCCTGGGTTATCGCAACCAGGTTGGCGCGATTTGTAAGTTTGAGTAAAAAAGTATGAATAATAAGAAAATGTACATTTATTAATTACAGATAATTTTTAATACAGATTTTATATTATTTTGTTTTAAAATATAAGATAGCAATTAAACCCTTCCGGTTTCGAATTTGAATAGTTGCAGAATTATTTTTTCGGCGGAAATCTTTTGGCTATTGCTTTTAGCACTGATTGAAAACCGTCTTCGCCATTAACAGCTTGAGCTTGGCGCCATAAATTCGATAAGGTATGAGTCAAATGATGAACGGGCTGTTCCTCTCTGTTTTTTTGTTGCGCCATTTGGCTGAGCCCCACATGCGCTCTACATGTTGTGTGTGAACGCCCGTGTTGGAATCCACAAAGTTATATTTGTGATTAACAGTTCCATGCAGAAATCCAGCACTTTCGAACTCACTTGTATTGTATCCTTTCCAGCAATCCAAATAAATGATGCTTCCTTCCTTGATATTTTCGCAAATTTTTTCCATGAGGGTAACGGCGCTTCTGTTAGGTACAGTAACCGAAAAAGTAATTAAAGTATTTCAGGGAATTCAATCTAACCAGTAAGAAAAATAATTTCTTTACGAAAAACTACATATAACACGTAGGGTTGCCGTAAGTAGGGTCGCCAAATTTGGCGATTTATGCGAATTTTGGGCCTGTTGCGTAATACGTAAGTACCTTCAATTCCCATGTATCTCTAAATGAAAAAGACATTAAGTGATATTTTAGTGACAGAACTCTGTGTTAAAGTTAAGTCTGTAACTTGTCAAAAATTTCAGTTATCTATTGGAAACAAATACGATTTAAAAGTAACGAAAGTAAATTATTACGTTTATTATATAAAATTGTACAGCAAACCTTTAGCTTATATTTAAAATTTCTAAAATGCTTATGTTACATTTTTCTGTTATATAAGCATTGAAAGTGGATTTCTCACTGAAACAGAAATAATTTTACTATTGAATTAACATGGAGAACTTTTTTATTGAAATATTTTTTCTCTGTGACATTAGTTGCATCTGCTACAAACTAAAGATTAAAGAACTGTTTTTAAAACATTTCGAATTCGTTGTCATATTGATCTATGAAGCACTAATTAGTGAGTTTTATTACATTATTGACAAATATAGTTTTTAAACAATCAAAAAATTTTCAGAGGAGATAATTATTTGTCAAATATGAATGTGTTTCAAAGCGAAATAAATAAGTGATAAAAAGAAAATTAAGTTAGAACATTCACATTTCTAACAAAGTAATTTAATCTTTAAAACAATATATTTTACAATGATAACGCAAATACAATGTGAAAGGATATGCGAAGATTATGATAGTACCAAGAGTATTCAGCATTTCGTATAATTCTATTACCAGATAATAATAACATTAAAATAAATTTTATCTGAATAAAGTTTTCTTATTACAGAAACAGTCAAATTATGCAATTACATAAACGAATGCACTTTCAAACAATATACTTAATACTGTTTACAAGTGCAAGCCAAAGTTCTGTTTATGTTACTTCTCGCCCTTCAGCGCATGCTCAAGAATTACCATCCAGGCGAAACTAGTCGATTTGTCCATGACGTCAAAAATTCGAAAAGTGGGATAGGGTTTGGAAATACGCGTAACAGAGTCGATATATTTATAAATATATTTATCAGAGGCGTAGCTAAGGTTTTCAGCGCTCGGGGACAACTGGAGATTTTGCGCACCTTTCTGTTTGCCACGAATGGAAAACACTTTATTCTAAAATTTTGTACCATCAATTTGGCGCCCCCCTGCATGCTGCGCCCGGGGACAGATGTACCCCTTGTCCCACCCTAGCTACGCCACTGATATTTATATAGGTTTGGTGCGGCCGATTGCAACCAAAATACGAGGTGCACATCTACATGTTATAGTAGTCCTATATACAAAATTTAAGCGTTCCGAGGCTACTCGTTTCTGAGTTATGCGAGATAAGTACGTACGTACGTACATACGTTCGTACAGACGCCACGAAAAATTCTTTTCAGTCATTTTAAAGCAGTTTTATAATTTTTTTGTAGGAAAAGAGTCTTTTATTCTGTCCTTTCGTACAGATATCAAGCAAAAACATCGTTAAATTGCATTCGAAAGCAGCCAAAATGGATACTTTCGTTGAAATATGCTGCCTGAAACTTTTCGTGATTACAATACTTGCTTTTTACTTAGTACAAGGAAGTAAAAAGGCCAATATCCATTCTCAATCCAAATGTTATCATGGAAGTCTAATTTTTATATTTACTTTGTCGTGTTATTCGGTATTTTTTTGTTTTTATTTATGTATATTTATATTCATATATATTGTGAGTATTTTATGTATTGGTTCACCACTTGAGATCTTACCTTGATAACATAGATTTAGATAGCTTTGAGGCTTTCATTTATAGTGCGTGAATCTCTTTAAAATTCAAATTTTAAAAAATCACTATATCTGAAAGAAGTTACTTTCTATAATATTTCGAAACTTTCAACTATGTTCGATTCGGGGTAGGGTGTCAGCCTTGGCACCCAACATATTTCCACAAAGAAGAAATGTCGTGCAGAAAGGTTTAATTATAAAGTGCAACAAATTATTAAAAATATGGCAAATGAGTTTAAAAGTGAAGAAGAATTAAAACAGTATCTTGAAAATTTGGGTACTGAATATCGATTTTCTTGCTTCAAAGAAAAGAACTTAGAAGGTACTGAAACATCTTTTAACTTTTGTATAATAATTTGTCGTTTTTGTTTTGTATAAGGAATACGAAAATATTATTATTATATAATAAAGGTTATGGAGGTGTTTGACACTGAAATTGCGGGAATTTTTCGATACTTAGAGCTGTGAGAATAGTAATTTTAACCGCTGGTAGGAAACTACAGTGACTCACAAAAATGATCGGCCACTTTGATTGGGGAAAGTGCAGAATCGCCCACTGCTTGGTGCGTTTTTAAGAATTGCACATACTCGGGATCCGTGTACACGTCGACCTGTTTTCACTTGAAAAAAATCCCAGAATTGCACAAAAATGGCACTGCACACTCCCTTGACTTTATCTATGTACACATCGACCTATTTTCACTTCAAAAGTCAAAGGAAATTGACAAAAATCCAATTCTTCTTAGCGTCAAACAAATAAGTGGGCGATTCTGCACTTTAGCCCTTTGATTTTTTGTATTCGTTAATGGGAAAAGTGCAGAATCACTCACTACTTGGCACGTTTTTAAGAATTGCACATACTCGATATCCATGTACACATCAACCAATTTTCACTTAAAAAAAAATCCCAGAATTGCACAAAAATGGCACTGTATACGCCCTTATTTTATCTATGTACACATCGACTTATTTTTACTTCAAAAATAAAAGAAACTTGACAAAAATCCAATTCTTCTTACTCTTGTAAAAAGTGCCAAACAAATAAGTGAGAGATTCTGCACTGATCACTTATACAATCTACAAACTCTATATTACCAACACCAGAATGTGCCATAGATCCCAATACCATAACTCCTCCTCCGCCATGTTTAACACTTGGTACTAAGTTTTGCTTCTGAAACTCCTGTTTTGGTTTCTCCACATCAACACTCGTCCATCTTAGCTGAAAATGATAAATTTGCTTTCATCAGCAAACAACACTTTTTTCCAGTAGTAGGGTGTCCTTTGTTTTATTCATTTTGCAAAACCAAGCAAAGTTTTTTTTTTTTTTTTTTTTTTTACTGACAATATTTTCTGTGTTCTACTCGCCCATGATATGCTCCAGATCGCATTACTCTTCGTACAGTTTCTGGATTTACACATATTCCATATAATTCACAACGTTCCACAAGTTTAGGAGTAATGAGGGTTAGAGTAGATTTAAGAGTGCTCCTTGGATTATCCTTACCTAAGTTGTTATTTCATTTATCGCCAAGTTGTTTCATTTATGGTAACCTCAGTAGTTGAACATTACAGAAACCCTATTGTGACATGATTGGTTACGTGATGCAGTCAGTTTGAATGATGAGAAAAGATTTGGAAAGTGTGTGTCGGATTTTGGATAAGTATGTTGTTATTTTATGGTTTACATGGTAAAATGGCTGACTGTTGTAAGATTAATTTGAAATTTCTGTACAATTTGGAACGAAAAAAAAAGCATTAATTGACTGGTGTGTAAATGAAGGTTTACTTAGTAGCCATTATTAAGTGTCCTGTTTGTAGGAAGGAAATGAATATGGTCAAATGTCAGACAATACCCGCACTACAGAGGTTATTTTTGTGAATTTATGTGGCGATGCCAGTATATGGATTCTAGTTCAGATAATTTTAGGAAGTTTTTAGATGCTGTTAAAGAATTTTGTTTGACTGACAACATGTAAGTTCGTAAATAAGGTAAGTGGATATTTCCTTTGTGTAGTTGCTAAGATGAATTTCCTTTTCTATGCTATTTCATGGATTAATTTAAAATATAGTTTAATGAGATTATATATTTTTTGTTGGTGGCTCCTTTGACTTTTTAAGTGAATTTAGATCGATGTGTACATGAAAAATGCCAAGAAAGTACGTAATGTCAAATTTGTGGAAGTCTCCGATTTTGTTTAAATGAAAATAGGTCGATGTGTACATGGATACCGAGTTTGTGCAATTCTTGTTATTTTGGATTTGTGGAGCAGCAATTTTTGAAGACAAAGCCAAAATAACAAGTCAAAGAATTGCGCAAACTCAGTGTCCATGCACCGCGAATTATTGCTAAGGCACGCCCATAAATATATTTTTACCGCATTCAGTCTTGGATTCTTTTTAATATTCCTTAGAATAAAGTGTTTCATTCCATGAGATAACTCAGATGGTCTTCTTTTGTTTTTAGTACAATTCTGCATCTTAGTAATGCCAAAAGCTGTAGAATCACTTAAATTAATTTTTCTAATAGGTTTCGCTTTCATTTGATGCAAATCAATAACTAATCTGCAGGTTTTTAACAATATTTTCTTTCGTGACCCAGCCATTGCAAGAAAACATAAAGAATATTTTCTAAAAAGAAAATTTGAATTATAAAAGCAAACAATTTGTAGATTTTTGCCGAACTTGTTTATCTAAACTACAGTCAAAAGTCGTTAATCCGGACTCGTCGGGACTTCGGCGATTCCGGATTATAGATCATCAGTTTAAATCTGGTAAGATGGCATGCAGAAATTATAAAATTAAAAATATGAAACCATAATTTATGAAATAAAGAACAATTATGATCTAAAGGGTATCAAAATTTACAAAAAAAAAAAAAAAAAAAAAAAAAAGCTTAATATTTATTTGTTTACTTTATTAAACATTTCTTTCAATGTAAGTTGTTTAAGTTGCTTTGTTTTTTTATGTGATAATACATTCTCTTTAATTCTATAAACAGACATAATTTCTTGTTCAAATACAGAGTTCCGCTGTTCAAGTCCTATAATTGCTGTGTCGAGAATACCGACTAATTTGTCAATCAAAATTTTTTCGTTTTCAATCACCTCCGTCACTTTCTTCGCTATTGGAAGCGAATTATAATGACGAGGAATTTGGTTTAAATCATATCAAAGACTGAGTACATTGAGATGAAATACTACATTTCGTAAGGAATTATAAGCCAAATAAAATAAAAACATCTGCCTTGAAGATAAGGATAGTGCTGACAGATCAACTTCCAGTTCATTGCGCACCACAACGTCCCCCCCCTCAGAGCAGTGTAAAATTGAAACAGATTTTGGAATGGTTAGAGAAACAAAGAATATGCCTTTATCCATTTTTTGTCCACTTTTTGTTTGATGGACATCAAAACATGCTTTCGCTTTGTAGATCCTTTGGTAGCTCCAGAATCGGAAATTCTTTTTGACATAATTGAAAGTTCAAGCTTGCTTTTCTAAAATTGCTCTAACAGTCTTCAAAAAATAATAAGCCGGATCCAATTAGAAGATTAAGGAACAACGCAATCTGCAACATTAACTGAAATAAATAATTAGATAATTTTAGCTTAGCTTATACCGTCCGTTATACATTAAATGTGCATGCGTAAATGCATATGCGCATGCAATGCGTTAAGGCCCGTTTCCACTGATGCGTATGCGTTGCGGTGCGTATGCGTTTTCTCCAATCAGCGAGCGAATTCACTTTGATTGACATCTGCAATCCGGTCGGTGTGCGGTGACGGATGACATATGGATGGAGTTCAACAATGTTCAACTTCTATCCATATATCTGCGGTTGCGTTTGGGTCACGTGGTGAAAAAGGAGCAATCAGGTGCAGTGACTAAAAATTAATGGCGGCAGAAGTAGCGATGAACGCTCGCTAATAGGGAAAGAATGTTTTGCTACTTATATTATTTAATACTTATTTCTGAATTAACATTATAGCGAGAAATCTGCGTGCTGAAAATGACAGCAATCAGCTGAATTTAGTTTAAAATGAGAAGAAAAACAAGATAACTGCAACTACAGTACTTGTTCGTTCAAGAAAATCAGCGGCAAAAATTATAATTCCAAGTCCATGAAATAGCAAAATTTGTTCTGATAATCATTTTTTAGTTCTGCATACTCATTTAGCTTTAATGAAAATGAATGTCTGACTATATCAAACTGCTATAGCAAATTAGATATGATTAAAAGATTTGCTATTTTTTCTTTTGAAACAGGTAAAAACTAAAAACGTTAATTATAAATTAAATTTGATAGCCTTTTAAATACTCCAGTTCATTGAAGAGTATGTTAAATTTGTATTTCCCTTTATAAATATATCTTTTTGGATAACATATATTTGTAAGCACATGAAATATATTTTTAGCAGCCCGTTTAACTTCAATCGGAACGCCACTTTAAAAGATAATGATTTTTCCAAAAAATGTACTAGAAGCTGAAGAACAAACTCTGGGGAATTTTTCAGACAATAGCAAAGTGAAATAGGACCAAAAAACTTAAGTTTTAAGAATTGATTTACTTGATAATGTATATAACCCAAAATATGCATGCGACTTACGTGTAATCCTAGCTTAGTGGTAAATCTGATGGTACAATGTCTACTTTTTGGAGTCGTGAGTTCGAATCCCATACGCTTTTTGCACCATGTCTGCAACTTTCTTACCTTTTTATTCCAATTTGATCTATATTCGTGTTTTATAATTTATTTATATTATTATATGCATTAAATATATTGTTTTATTTATGCTCTTATTTATTTAAATTTTTTCCCGCAAAAAAGTTTGAAAATTATATAATACTAATTTAAAGCATATCCTGTACATATATATTGAATTTAACAAACATTCTCTATTCGTAAAAAGCAAATTTAAAGTTAATTAAATTTAAATGAAATTTAATGCAAACAAAGAAATGATTAATTATTGCTGTGCAAGTATCAAAATCTATGAATAAACATATAATTCCAAAAATTTATTAATCCTTAAAAAATTTATAAAAATGCATAAGTGAATAATGGGATAGATTATTAATCCTAAAAAAATTATAAAAATGCATAAGTGAATAATAGGATAGATTATTAATCCTAAAAAAATTATAAAAATGCGTAAGTGAATAATAAGATAGTTTATTAATCCTAAAAAATTTATAAAAATGCATAAATGAATAATAGGATAGATTTAATCCTAAAAAACTTATAAAAATGCATAAGTGAATAATAGGATAAATAAATTTTTGGAATTACATATTTATTCATGGATTTTGATACTTGCACTTAATTTACATATGCTCTCAGTATTTAAATGATATTGTATATTAGTTCGCAGCAATAATTAATCCTTTATTTGTTTGCATTAAATTTCATTTAAATTTAATTAACTTTTAATTTTTACGAATAGAAAATGTTTGTTAAATTCAAATTTCATTCCTTGCAGCAATGGCACAAGAGAATTATTTAAATTTAATTTATTTTGAAACCCTGCAGATATATATATATATATTTTCGTTTCACTTTATGTGAATGTATATACATATGCTCAGACTTTGGGATGTTTACGACTCTAAACTTTCATTCCAATTAACATGAGACAGTATTAATGCCCTAAAACATTTTTTAACAAAAAATTACTATAATAATTGCTTTTAAATTCAGTCCTCTCCAGCAGAAGCGCAGGAATTAATTAATTAAATACTTTTCATTTTCTTTACCATTAATTGTGTAAATATTTCCATATGTATATGTAAGAGAGAAAGGGGTTCTTATTTTTATAACTTCTTGTATAAAAAGAGATATGAATTAAAAATGTTTAAATTAACAATAATATTTTATGGATTATGCATAAAATATAACTGCCCATAGTGCATGTGAAGTGAGCAAAATAGTGAATTTTGCTTAAATATTGTGAACCTTTCCTTACAGTTACTCTGTACTTTTAAAGTACCAACTATTTTTTAATCCCTTTAACTTTTTATTTTATGTTATTTATTGTTTACTTTTTCACTAACAGTACATTTAGTTTTAATAATATATATATTATTTCATAATATTTAAGGCTTCTAGAAACACAATTTTTTTTTTTTTTTAAATTTATTTCAGCTTCTATGGAATTCGTGATGTTCATAATATGCATTATAACCTTACTTATCTAAAATTCCATATCAAAATCCAAAATAAACAATACTCGCTTAAGCGGGGAAAAATTCAGATGTTCAGCTTCGTAACTCGCGAACTGCTTGCGCCAAAATATTACAGTGACACCTAGCGGCGGAAAATGAAAATATTTTACGCATACGCAGCAGTGGAAACGCTTGTACGGATGCCGTAGGCGTGTCTTCAATTGACGCAACGTGTTCGTACGCAGTAGTGGAAACGAGCCTTTATGCATGTGCAGAAAATTTGTAGCTTTGAGGTCCGGATTAAAGACTTTTGACTGTATGTTTATTTATAATATTTGAGATTTTTGGTTTTTAAGTTTTTGTTCCTTTATAATTAGGGCTTTTATTTTTTAAAGAATTTATAAACATAAACCAAAAACATAAATCTATAATTTTTGCATATATATATTTGCAGTAAGCATGAACGTAAATTGAACATTATTAAAAATACATTATTAATCCTTTATAATAAATTGTTTTCTTTAAATTTTATTATAAGATCTAAAAATGCATAATCTTTTAAAATGGAAAAACCATTTCTTATTTAAAAAACACATGCTGTGCAAAAGCATATTTATGATTGGATGCAATGGCATAGCTGGAGGAGGCAGTCCACCTTGAGCAGCATATTTTAAAGGATGTCATTTTCCGCATGGAACATTATTTTTTATAGGTGTAGTCATGTGGATCATCAAAGCAGATGAAAAATAACAAGATTCTAAATTATCATATTAAACTAAATGGAGAAGAAAATTAGTTTATTTAAAGTATTCAAAGAAACCACTATGAGATTTCAATAGTTGTAAATTATTGTTATAACTTTTATATTTCATTAAAACTTTTGAATAAAAATTAAAAATATGAACTACATCATGATCATGGTAATATTAATAAGGAAGAATTCTGTGTTAAGAGAGAAATATTTCCATTATTGCTAGGGAAAATTGAACAAGAATGTGGAAGTGTATTTTTGAATTTTTGCAATTTATTCCAAAGTATAATCTCCATAACAGAATTCCAAGTATTGTAATGCTACTGTGAACTTTCCTCACAATTGCTGCAAATGTTGCTAGTTGTGAGAAGAGTGTTCTAAATAAAAATTATTTAAGAATTAATTAACTGTAAATGATTATTCTGCATTTAAGAAATCTTTCTATACTGCCTACATAACTGCAACTTGAGCAGTCTAATAGAGCTATGCAGTCTCAATATTTTGCATACAGATAAGCAAGCAAAATAACAATGTAATTTTTAAATGTTGGAATTAAAGTTTTTCTTTAAAAATCAACATGGACTTTTAATTTATTTGTTTATTAATGAAGAGGAAAGGCTAACTCAGTGACTACCTTGTGAAGCTAAATTTCTAGCTACATTGATTAAAAGTTTTTCATTTTGAAGAGTAAGTATTTTATTTTGATTCACTTCGACATCTATAAATATTACATGTGAGAAGAAAAAGCAATATACTTTTTTTGTGTTAGGAAAACATTTATATTTTTCTCAAAATTTTTAAATGTGAAGTAAAAAAATATAATTATTGAATAAAAAGAAATTGTAGTTACAGAATTTTTTATGATAATGATAAGAATCGTTTGGCAAGGTGCTATGTAACCGAAGAATTTTATGAAAATGTATTCGTCTGGTTAACTAATGATTTTTTGTGCATTATGGCAGTGTGTAATGCTACCATCTGTTTCGGTAGTGGTGGCGGTAATTTGCACGATTTTGAAATTCGAGAATCGTTTGTGATTAATGTGCGAAGTTTTTCCTTTCTTTTTCATTTAATTAATCATAGTGGTACTGTGTGCCTGCTAATGAAAGAAAAAGTATTGCATTTTTCAGAGATATCGTATTTTGCTTGCTAATAGAGAATGTAGGAATGTGTATTTCATGAAGTTAATTTATGCAATTCTCTAATGTTTCTTTAAGTTAAAACAGGTGGATGAGCAATGCCAGTTTGCTCAGCAATGCTGAGAATTCTGCAATTCTGTTTTAAGTTAAAACAGATTGCTGTGAACATGGACAAGAGATCAAGAAAATAAATGTGTTATAATTGTGCATTATTTTATTATGGATATTTGTTGCATTTTTAATTTGTTAATTTTTAATTAGTTAATCTGTTACTGTTTTGTAAAATTTTGAGTGTTATGGATGTTTGTTTTATGTAACATTTCTGTTTAATTATGGATGTTGTGATTTTAATTTCATTAAACCATTGCTATTTTATGTCAGTTTCAGCACACTGTTTTTCATGTGTTAGGAGGGCAAAAAATTAGTTGCTGACGATCAGTGACTTTGCAGGAGGGTCAGGCAGATAATGTGAGAAGAATTATAATTGCCCCTGCAAATATATTTTATAATATGACATACATATTTTTCATTACGCGTTGTTTCGTAGTTACGTTTTCTGGGTGAAGTACCATTCCAGTGAACAAATGAAAATTTTTATGTAATTAACAGTGTTGCCATACATATAAAAACGAAGTAGAAAAAATATGTAGTATAATTTTTGAACTAAGTATTATATCTTTTCAGAAAGTGGACTTGCACCACTTTGTAAAATTTTGAAGGATTTTTTGGGGGGGTAACTGTTTATAGATAAAATGTTCAAAGCAGATGGCATTCATTGCTATCATTAACTAACATTTTATCAAAAACAGACATGCATCTCTTTCAAAGAAAACGCTTCAAACTATTTTTAATGTTCATGGGCATTTTGTTTATTAATTGCAGGTTGCCATTTGCTGGGAGATTATTTGGAAGCAATTCAGAAAGATTTTGAAGGAGCTTCAAAAGTTTATAAATCAAATTGTGATGAAAGAAATTACGCTAGAAGCTGTTTTAAATATGGTAACTATTGTTACCTAGGAAAAGGTAAAAAAAGATGCATTCATTCATTTCTTTGTAATATTATTTTATAATTTTATTCTTTTTAAGAAACTGAAAATACTTTTACTGAAAATGAAGTCTTAAATAATAGTTTAACCTAAAATCAGAAATTAAAAATGAAACAATTGCAATGCAGTCATATTTAGTCTTCATTTAAAACAGGCAAGCAGTGGTTAATATTTTAATGGTGAACTATACCAACTGGCATCATCAATAAGCATGTTATCTATAAAGAATTTCCATGTTTACACCTCACAGTGACATTGTGTGAAATAATGACACTGATACATAAACACAGAAAATACTTTGCCTCTTGGAAAATACATGCACATTTAAAAATTATTATTGCAATCTAATGCCCTATTTACATGAAATGTCATTTGATGTCTAACATCAATAATGCATATTTTACTTAAAACATCAATAAGCATAATATATAATAAAATTCAGCAAACAAAGTGGATTTTAATTACTTATAAGTAAACTGTCTTTAAATGTTTATGGAGTACTTTTGTTCTATTGCAGTTAAATCTTTACATATTTTTTTTAGGGATTTAAAAACATTTTATAAAAGTAAAAATCTTACTGAATTCAAACTGTAGAGAGAATATTTAAATAAGGTATTGTTGCCGAATGATGTGGCTTAGGATACTGTCTTGCGAAATCTCATATTGTTATTGAAGGTTAATTGGTTGTCAGACGGTAAAGAAACTTTTTTACAAATGTAAGTTATATTGTTTATTGTTAAATTGAATGTGGTTCTGAATCAAGGACAGAATCCCATAAAGAAGAGAATTCCAACTTTTTCCAATACACTTAACTGTACACTCCTGATCGTACAGCAGCATAATCTACTTTTTAATTATTGTTATTGTATTAGCTGATAATCTGAAGTCTGTGCTCGGAGCTTTCTGATACATATATATAGTTGATGCTTAAGGATGTTCTTATGGTTAACTGATGCATAAATCATACTATTAAAGGTGTATGAATTTATTTCTATATTCTGATCTTTACAATGAAGATAGTTCAAATTTCACTTTTTCATTATAGACACTCACTTTTCAACATCAGTTTTTCATCATAGAAAATTTTAAACATAATGAACAGTAATAAATGGAGAGATAGAACCGACATTCTAAAATATATAAGAGCTAATTGAAAACTTAAGACAATTACTATATCACTTCTCCTATATTAGATGCAACAACTGTTGTAAAGAGAGAAGTAGAGGGCGCTGCTTGGCAGTAGCGCAATTCATGTAAGTAGAAACGAAATATCGTTTGATTAGGCAACATGATTTCTGTGAAGGTAGTCCGCCTAACAATAGGACAGTTGTAAATATGTAAATATAATGGATAATAAATAGCATTAGAAAAACTGAACCACCGGATGCTTTGTGTTAGCTCTTCGGGCCGCCATGGTTAAATGCAGGTTCGTTACAATGGTGCATCTTACGGAAAGTTTGGATTTGTTAAAGTGAACTTCATGAGGAAGGATGTGTCCAGACCATGCCCTAGGTAAGAGTAGGATTATTATTAAATTTTGAACGTGTTTGATTTGCATTTTGATCAGAGCAGTCTTAGGTACATTTACGTATTAACACGAAATAATAGCAGAACTAGATAGATTAAAACGAAAGAGAACCGCATTGAGAACGGTACTATCTAAACTATTAAAGAAAGTCGAGGATAGCTTAGCAAAGGAAGATAGAGATGAATTATGCCAAGTGCATGAATTATTAACAGAAAAGAAAAGTAATTTGAAAGAATTAGATGAGGCAATTCATTCCGTAATTGAGATAGATTCTCTAGAAGCGGATGTAGTTAGTTTTGAGGAATATCAGGAAAAATGTTCTCGAGCTATTAAACGAATTAATCAAATGTTGGAAGAGGATAAAATAAGTATTAAAGATCTTGAACAAAACTTGGTTAGACTGCAAAATGTACAAAGTACGGTAAAACTTCCAAAACTAATTTTAGAGAAATATTCAGGTGATCCTGAAAAATTTACGGAGTTTTGGAACAGTTACGAAAGCACTATAGACAAAAAAACGAAAGTCTTAGTAAGATAGAAAAATTCACATACTTGAAAACATTACTTACAGGTGCTGCGAGTAATGCAGTATCTTAATTAGAATTAAATGCAAAAAATTACGATGAGAGTATAAAAACTTTGAAGGATAGATTCGGGAAAAAAGAAATAATAATGAGTCAATTCATGAACAAACTGTTAAATTTAGAACCAGTAAGGAATTCAAATAATATTAAAGCTTTACGTAGGTTATATGATGAAATCGAAATTGCAGTTCAGAATCTGGAAGCGCAAGGAGTTACGAAAGGTTCATTTGGTCAGTTATTAATACCTGTGTTGTTAAAAGCTATTCCAGAAGAATTCGTTCTGGAATTTAATCGACGGAAAAACCCAAATGAAGAAATTAATGTATCTGGCTTGTTGGACTTTATAAAGCGGGAAATTGAATGTCGTGAAGCGTCGAGTTTATTGACGCGAGATAAAAGAAATCCCTTGCCACCACGTTTCGAACATGCTAAGTCTGATTATAAAAAAATTCACAGAAATGTACCTACGGCTGCCAGTTTCAATGCTGTTGATAATCGTGCATGCATCTTCTGCGAAAAGTCCCATAATTCATTTTCTTGTGATAAAAGCATTAAAGAAAAAAATGTGTAAGTTACGTACTGAAAATAGATGCTTTATTTGTTTTCGAAAATATCACATTTGGAAATCGTGCAGGAATAAAACTAACTGCTTAAAATGCGGGTTTAAGTCGCACCATGAGTCACTATGTACGAGTAGTTCAAATCGTAACAAAGCACGAACGACTTCAAATCAAAACATAAAAAAATTGTGCGAAAGGTCGCAAGACAATTCAGTAGGTGAAACACCAGACTCCCCGAAAGAAACACGCTTTCTGTTGTTCCTTGTGATAAATCATTGAAGAAAAATGCTTTATTGCAAACCTGTTCAGTGTTAGCTCATTATGATGGAAAGTCAGAGTTAACTAATTTAATTTTCGATTATGGTGCTACACGAAGTTTTGTTCATATTAGTGTAGTTAAGAAATTAAATTTAAAATTTGTTGGAGAAGAAACATTGTCTATTTATTCCTTCGGAATGAAATACGCAGTACCTAAAACATGTAAGGTTGTCGAATTCTGTGTTTCGGATGCGAAGCAAAAGAACAAAATAAAAATCAGCTGTCTCGTCACTGACACCATTACTGCTGCGCATTTGACCACACCGTCAAAACAAACACTAAAAATGATGAATGAGTGCAGATTGCGAATTGCTTGTTTATGTAAAGGAAGCGTTGGAATTCTAATAGGTGTGGATTATTATTGGAAGATGGTAAGGGGGGAAAAGATTCAATTAGGAAAGGAAATTTATGCGATTTCTACTATGTTTGGATGGGTCCCAGTTGGCCTTCAAGATAAAGAGAGCGAAATAGTATCTCAAAACACAGGCAATAGTAAACCTTTCTTCTTGCGTAACTGATTCATTGAGATCGTTATGGACTTTAAGATTTGATGGGCCTTACCGATGACTCAGCGATTTCTAACGAGGTGAGGGAAATGATTCAGAGCTTTGAAAAGGAAATACAGGTAGAAGGTAAATAGATACTATGTCAGTTTATTATGGAAATCAGAAGCAGGGCAGTTAGAAAATAATTTCGGAGTCGCATTAAGACGATTTGAAAGTCTTAAAAATAGACTTATTAGAAATCCTGAGATTTATCAGCAGTTTAAATCCGTAATTGAAGAGCAAATGAAGGAGATTATAGTTGAGAAGTGTTCACAGGAAATAACGGAAGCATCGTATTTTATGGCGCACAGGGAAATAATAAAACCTAAGGAAACCACAAGGTGTAGGATTGTTTATGACGCAAGCTCTTCTAGAGCTAAATGTGTAAAGTCCTTAAATGATTTTTTAGACATTGAACCTAGTTTGATCCCCGTAGATTTGGACATAATTTTAAAATTTCGGAAATATGAAATTGCTTTCAGCGGAGATTTAGCTAAGGCCTTTTTAATGATAGGAATCTTAGAAAAGGATAGGGAATATTTAAAATTTCTTTGGTTCGGAAATAGTGAGGAAAAATATAAAGTTTTAAGGTTTAAACGTCTTCCATTTGGACTTTGCTGTAGTCCAGCAATTTTAGCGATGACGATAAAATTCCACATTAAAAAATATAAAAGCACAAATCCAGAAAGTTATGAAATGTTAGATTCCTCGTTATATGTAGACGATTTATACTACGGTGCAGACACTATTGAAGATGCATGTCGATTATCCTCAGACGCGGTTAAGATTTTTAAAGACGCTGAGATGAATTTGAGAAAATTAAGGTCAAATTCCGAGGAACTTAATTCCTGGTGGATTGGAAAAGGTTATAACATAGAACCAGCTAAAGAGTCAAAATTTTTGGGACATGATCTGGAACTCTGAAGCAGATAAGATCAAGTTGAATTGCGAATTTTTAGGAAATTTATCCCATGACAGTGCTGAGGCCACAAAAAGGACTATTCTCCAAATGGTGGCTAAAGTTTACGATCCAATTGGTGTATTTCAACCCTTTGTGATGAAAATGAAAATTCTGTTACAAAAAATTTGGACATTAGGTGTGGACTGGGATGGGATGATACCCTTCCACTAGAAATAATTCAGGACTGGAGTCGCTGGCAAGCTGAATTAAAGATGTTGGAGGATTTTTCTCTTCCGAGAAAATATTTTGGTAGTAATGAAAAATCTAATGTTAGCCTTCATGTATTTGCTGACGCTAGCCCTAAAGCATACGGCGCAGTAGCATACTTTAGATACCTTGATTCGAAAAAATATTATTTGCACCAGTTTCATTACAGCGAAGGGTCGCGTAGCTCCACTCAAGACCATGACTCTACCTCGTTTGGAGTTGATGGCTGCTTTAGTAGCCACCAAATTGTTTATGTATTTGACAAAGCTGTTTC